CTTGTGAAGCTTGCAAACATGATTAGGGAAGCGAGGATCCTCGAACCCGGGTGGTTGCCGCATATACACCGTATCGGATAAGTGACCATGAAGGAAGGCGTTGTTGACATCAAGCTGGTGGAGCGGCCAATTATTAATAACAGCAAGAGTCAACACAACCCTGATTGTCGCCGCCTTCACCACCGGGCTAAAAGTATGAGAAAAATCGAGACCGGGAATTTGACTAAAACCTTGAGCAACAAGGCGTGCTTTATGTCGATCAATAGAGCCATCGGCGAAGTACTTGGTTCGAAACAGCCAACGACACCCCACCACATTCGTGCTAGCGGGACGGGGAACCAAAGACCAAGTGTGATTACGAGAAAGTGCATGCATTTCGGAGCGCATGGCGTCAACCCATTTGGAATCCTTGAGAGCCTCAGTAAGCGTTGTCGGGTCAACAGAGGCAAACAGGGCCGAATAAAGCCCGCCATCAGATGTATGAGAAAGGTCTGCCCAATGCCTTGGTTTAAAAATCCCAGATTTCGCTCGAGTGATCATGGGGTGCCCGATAGGAGCAGCAGGGGCCGGTGCCGATGGAGAAGAAGGCGAGGGGGCAACAACCTCGACATCGGGTATCGACAGATCCGAAGCAGAACCTGATGCAGATTCAGTGTCAGAACCGTGATCAGAGTCTGTGGCAGACGCTGTAGAAGCAGGATCGGGTTGCGGGGGCTCGACTGGTGGAGAAATGGCAGCAGGTCCCGATGGCGGCATGGGAGGATCATTGCAGACGGTACAAGGAGCTGGAGGCGAGACCGGTGGAGCAGGCTTCGAGACAGCAGCGGGCACGAACACACTCGGAAAATCATCCAAAAAAGAGTGAAGTGGTAAATCAACCATTGCGGTGTGCGTGGCAGCGGTGTCAAAGGGAAAACACAACTCATCAAACCGAGCATGGCGTGTGATGTAAATGCGCGAGGATCGAGGATCWAGACATAAGTAACCTTTGTATTGTGAGTGATACCCAAGAAAAACRCARGGAATGCTCCGTGGAGACAATTTATSAGCCGAATAATCCCGCAGATAAGGGTAGACYCGGCACCCAAACGGGCRAAAATTATCATAAGATGGCACCCGACCAAACAACAGCTCAAAAGGAGAGCGATAGCCAAGAACTTTCGAAGGCAAGCGATTAATAATATACACCGC